CCGTCATTACTCCAGCTTGAATTTAGAGCCTCAAAGTATGGTTTGGCTTTTTTACTCAAGGTTATCATTCTACCACTTGTGCCACACCTTTCCTTCTGGATTAAAAAAAAGCAAACAGTTAATTGGAGTTAGGAGTTTCAGGGACTTTTCTTTTCTGTTCTGGCTTCAAACCATGATTCCTAAATCTCTGCTTTCTGAGTAGCAAAGATTATAGGCATGAGTCACTGGGTCTCAGTTCTGTTTTTGAGTTTTGTTCTAGCAAATCACTTTTGGATCTTGATTCTTTTATCTTTATTTCTCAAGTAGCTACAATTACAAGCATGAGCCATTGGAGCTAGGCATGTTTTCTAGTTATAAATAAAATAAAATACAATATATATATATATATATATACATGTATGTATCTTTTTCTAGTTACCAATATAATCTTTTCATGTGGTGTGTAATATTCAGAACCATTTTGAGTATACGCTGATGCTGGATCCTCAAATGAGAAATGAAGCCAATGATTCTAGAATGATAAATAAAACCAATTTAGATCTACAAAACTAGTTTTGTTATCATTTTCTCTTACCTTTTTGCATCACATAATTAAAAACAGAGTCTCCTTTCAATTTCTAAATGAACTGTTTCTCAAGCATTGGGAAAGTCTCAGCTATGAGCTCATTTCTGAATGACTTTCAAGCTCTGCAGTAGTGCCAACTCCAGGCTTAGCGTTCTGTGATTATAGTATCCAGCCCCAGTTGCACAAACTTTTAGCATCATCTTCTCTTTTATGGTATAGACTTATTTTTCTACTTACCATATTGAAATTTGTTTTTTAAAGTAAATTGTACTAAGTGAAAACTTGAGTTTGAAGGGAATATTCAGCAGGTAAGTGTACTGGAACAGAGTTAGGTGGCTTCATGCAGGAAGGGCACAAGTTTCGGGAACACTGTTGTAAGAGATACTCGTGAGTAATAGCTAGATGACAGCTTCTAGTACATGGGTTCCATGTACTTAAAAGAATTAGTAGAGTAGTGATGGATAGTCTTAAATCTTGAAACCTGTTTGAGAAGTAATGAAGAGGATGGGAGAAGGTCTCTGAACTAAGTATTTTGCATATGCTCTTATTTGGGTCTCAGATATGCTGGGAAAAATTAGCTGTAACTTGCATGTTCAGGCTCAGGTCTGATCTGCAAGCTTGTCTTCTGATAGCATTGTTGAGATAACCAGCTCTCTAGCTCTCCTATAGCAGCCAAGTCTGCTTTCAGTGCAGACTGCACAGGAAATTCACATACAGGAAAACACAGTATGTTATCAGAAAGCATCAATTCACTAGAAGGTATCAATATTTTCTTCATCTTTCCCCCAGAATAAAAGAGTTTGAACAAGCTGTCTATTTGTTTAACTGGGCTCTTAAAATTAACTCCCGTTTTCTGGATGCTTATGTTGGGAGAGGAAATTCTTACATGGAATATGGATCTGAGGAAGCCACCAAATATGCTCAGAAGGATTTTATAAAAGCGTTGCGTCTTAATCCAGCCTACACGAAGGCCAGAATCAGTCTGGCCTATAATTTGCAGGTAATTACAAAACAGCATTTTGAACACTGGAAGCATTGTTTGGACAGGAGAAAGAATATATTTATCTCTTGCTGGTGATAGAGCTAATGTTATTTCTTTGAGTAGGAATGTTTAGCTTTCCCTTACTTTTATTATTCAGAGTAGCAGTGGGAAAGAGGGGTTTGATCATGTATAAGGAGTCCACCTGGACTAGTTTAGAGTCTTGGATCACTCCTGAATTTCCTTAATGTCTGGCCCCCTCATTACCCTGAAAAAGAACTTTAAAATTGATCTGAATTTCACATGTAAAAACCTGGCATAATACTTATGTAACTGGATTATACCTTGGTTCTATAGGTTTGTCATCCTGAATTAGTAAAAAAGTCAAGCAAATAACAATGTCTGAGAATTTTCAAGTGAACTCCTGCTATACAATAGGTTAGACAGACAAGTTTCTAGGGATGTCTGAATTCAGCCATCTTCCCTGTGGCAGCCACATAGAGCCTGGAGTCAAGAACAAGAATCTTGACAGGAATTTGTCCTCTCAGCTGGAAAAGAGCTTTGCCTATTGGTGCCAAGCAGGTTTCCCAGTGGCTTCTGGGATTGAGATTTTATATCTCTTTTATTAATAAAAGATTCTTGGAATATACTACTAAGTGTGCTGTATTTTCCATGAGATAGAACAGAATAATTTTAAGGCTTCTAATCTGTTCTAATTTGCAGAATTTTAAAGGTGGGTTTCAATTCTTACAACCCACAAAAAGTTCTGTTAATAATCTGCCATTAAGGTTGCTTTTCTTCCACTGAAATAACAACTCTGACTGATCTAAGATTTCTGATACTAGAAAGGATGGATTGGTAATTATAGGAAGTTATGCCAAGAATTCATTAATCAGGGAAATAAGATTACCTTCTGAGAGTTAAATACAAAATTAGATATTATTGGATGACAGCTAAAATTTGCAAAGTCTATTAAGGAGACAAGATTGACTCCAAAGCAGCTAGCACCAAGTGGCAGCTGCTGGCATGAATGTCTCTACATTCACCAGGCATTTTGAGCACTGAACACAGGGCAGGAACTGCTCACAGCCGGGGGGGGGGAGGGGGACCACAGTGAACAGTATATATGTATTTCCCTTAGGAGCTTAATTCCTAGTGCAGAGAAAGAAGCAATCATATGAATAATTATTTGATTATAATTGTGTTAACAACAACAAAGAAAAAGAACTTTTTCATGTAAAAGGACCTAGCTTTGTTGTAAGTATTAGAGAGCTTTGTGAAAAATTACCATTTCCAAGTCTTACAAATTGGGTGATGTCATTCTTTCTGATGGAAGCATAGAATTCATATATATATGTGTATATATATACACACATATATACACACATATATATGTGTATATATACATATACACATATGTATATATGTGGATATACATATATATGTGTATGTATATATATATATGCATCTGGGTTGGTTCCCTATCTTAGCTATGGTGAATAATGCTATAAAGCTACCAGTTGTGCTGGTAGCTTTAGTAACAACAGAGGATATACAATAGAAGGAAGAACATAGAAAAGAAACAAAAAATCACATAGTACAATTGAAAACAACAACAAAGAAAAACCTCTTTTGTCCATGTCTTGGAGCTTATTTTGTTTAGCATCATCTTATATGTTCATATGTACATAGCTATTGAGCTATTCTGCTCCTCTGCTAAGATTATCCCAGACATATACTAATTGTAAAGAATGGGACCTATGTTTCGGGTCTAGCTTGCTTCAGTGATTTTGGTACTCTGGTATTGTATATATGTTTATTTGAATTAGGGAAGGGAAGGGGAACAACAGAACGGTGAGACAAATGATGTTGGAGGGACAGGAAAGTAGGAGAAAATTGAAAATTGAGGGAAGGAATAACAAGGTTTACAAGACATATACATTACTTATGTTACTGAAACCCCTCTGTACATCACCTTGGCAATAAAAAAGAATATAAATAAAATATAAAATAAACCAAAAAAATGACCATTTAAGCTGAAGTGTGAAAGATTAGTAATTAGTCACAGGACTAGGATGTGGTTGGTGTTCCAGACAGAAAGAATAGCCACCAAAAAAATCTTAAGGAAGAGATAGAGAGGGGGGAAGGGCAAGGGAGGGAGGGAGAGAGAGAGAAAAAAAGAGATAGAGGGAGGGGGAGAGAGAGAGGGAGAGAATGGGAGGAAGAGAGGGAAGGAATGGGAGGAAGAGAGGGAGGGAGGAGGGAGAGCAGAGAGTCAGGGACTGGGAGTGTGGCTCAAGTAGTAGAGTGCTTGCTCATCAAAAATGAAGCCATGTGTTCCAACTTCATTACTGCCCCTCTCCTAGAAAGAAAATCAAATTGAATACAATCCAACGTGACACTGAATCTGACTTCTGGAAGAGCAGAGGGCCCAAGGAAGTAGAAGATTATGGACAAGGGGAGAGTGGTTGAGACAGGCTAGAGAATTAAACAAAGGCTGGTATTGAAGATTTGCAGTCAAATTAAAAATAGAAACAGCATTTATCAGAGAAGAGGAAGGGTGGGCATATACAGTAGTAATATTCAATATGCATATTTGAAAATGGAATCAAGGATCTTGGAGGGATGGATAGTGTTGGAAGAAATGAAGGAAAAAATATATATATGTATTATATATGTGTATGTGTCTGTGTATAAAGACAATGAAATAGAAAAAAATAAGCATCAAGTTTGCATCTTATGAAGGGCTTACTAAATATGTAATCTAGAAATGGATTGAAAAGCATGCCAGTATAACAGGAAAGGAAGGGAAGTATCTTAATTTCTGCCCAAGGGAGGGAGAGTGACAATTTGTTCAATAACTGCATATAGATTCCACTCAGGATACACCAGGGAGCACCACAGAGGTGTTAGGAACAAATGACAAATGGAAACCTATTCTGAGCTGGTTTCAGTGTAGTATTCCACTAATCAAACCTTAGTTTGCCTGCTTCATGGTTTATTACACAAACTTGTAATGACAAGGTGGATTTCCTAGTAACTTACTCAGAGAGAGAACCAAGATTTGCCAGTCAGAAAACAAGATCTGATCCCCTTAAGTTTTTTTTTTAATGTTTTTAAGTTTTTTAAGTTTTAGGTGAGAGGCACTGGGCTCAGCTTGGTTAAAGTGAGTCAGCCTCTCAGATTCTGGAAGCTTGGGTTTTGAGTCAATGAGAAGAAAGCATGGAGGTGGGACCATGCTGAATTAATTTCTCACTGATTTCCTGTGGTGAGGGGCTTAGTTGCTAGTTGAAATTCTCCAGGAGGTATTCAGAAATCCTTCTAAAAGTGTTTTACTGCTCTTAACCTTTTTTTTCTCTCTCTCTCTCTCTCTCTTTGTAACTGGCACTAAATTTGGTATAGATATATGCTTGGTAGATAAATGCATTGGTAGATATATGCATTGTCCATAGAATATATATAGTGGTCCTAAAATTCCAGATGCTCATGCAATTTATAAAAATAAGTTTTAGACTATGAATTTATTCACTTATTCATGCAGCACATATTAATTTTACTTTGTGTACTATGCATATTTTATATGAAAAGAGATTATGTGCCAAGTAAGTAAAAACAGTTCTTGCCTGTGTGTGTGGAGCTCCATGTAAATACGTTAGCCATTGCGTGAAGCTCTGGAGTTGGAAATGGTGCTGTGATTTTACTGTGTCTGAGATTGGTATAGGTGATGACTTTACAATTAAATTTATTTCAATTTATTAAAAGTTCATCACAAATACTCAGAGGTAATTAATCAACTGACTATGCTCACAGTCTAAATTATTTTCTTACCTCAGATTTCACACAAAGTGAATATGCACTTACCAATGGTTTTAAGTGAGTGAGAATCATAACCGTTTGTCATGTTATAAAATATTTCTTATTTCATGAAATTGGAAAATTATTTTAGGCCCAAGAAAAATTCCAGAAAGCCTGGAACCACTTTACCATTGCCATAGAAGTTGATCCAAGGTGTTACCTAGCCTACGAGGGAAGAGGTGTGGTCTGTCTTCAAATGGGTAATAATTTTGCTGCAATGCAGGATATTAACGCTGCCCTGAAGGTAAAAGTCCACTTAGATGACATTATTATTAGCATAAGTTAATACCACTCATGGACAGGTCCAAGTAAGAAGTTATCTGTTACCTTTGAAATTGACTCATATGTAGAAAACATCCTACAATTTCCTATGTTTTTCCCCTGAGTCCTACAATAAAGAGTGGCATGTCCATTTTATAACCTAGATGTATTAACAAAAAAGAAGTATAGCTTAGTGGTAGAGCTCCTGTCTAGCAGTTATGGTATTCTTGAGTTCAAACCTCAGTACCCCATAAACATCAATTCCTTTCAGCAAATACAGCTTATAAATTAAATGAAACATCCATATTGTTTTGTTGCTGGGATTTTGTGGCCTGTAATCCTGGATAATCAGGAGATCTGTGGATTGTGTTTTGAAGTCAGCCTGGGCAAGAAAGTCAGAGAGATCCTTATCTCCTGTTAACCAGCAAACAGCTGGAAGTGGAGGTGTGAGTCACATGGTAGAGCACCACCTTGACTGAAAAATCCAAGCAAGAGGGTCAGGCCCTCAGTTCAAGCAACAATACTATCCCTGAGTTCAAACTTGAGTACTGGCACACACATGTGTGTGCGTGCGTGTGCGCGCATACACACCCTCACACAAATACAGTTCTGTCATATAATGACAGAAAAATATAAAAACAGGGTTTGACAGAACCAGAGAAAGGACAATGTAAATCCTGATTCTTCCTGGAATGAAATGGCAACTATAAATCTTGCGTTTTAAATACAATAGCAGAAACTTCTTTTTCCCTATTTTTAAAGTTTCATTTCTGCAGATTTGAGTAGATACCATAATGTGTGAGATAAGCAAAGGGAAATACCAGAAAGAAAATTGCTATAGCACAGGACAGATAGGCATGCTCATTATCCAATTTACTTTCTCCTCCACTTAACCTAGATAAGCAGATAAACTTTCCCCATGTGGCTGTCCCTTGGAAAGGATCTGAGTAAAAATAGTTTGATTGCAATCATGTCAACAAAATTTCACACCAAGCCCTTTCTCAAAATACTTTCTCTAATGGGGTTTTACCTGTGCTCTATTACTGGTTTCCCACAAGTAGATTTCATGACATACCTAAAGTCAGAAATGAATACTATTCCCAGATGTTCATGCTCTTGTATTCCAGATCAAAACTACAGCTGAGTTCTTAACAAATCGTGGGGTGGTTCATGAATTAATGGGTCATAAACATAATGCTATGAAAGACTACCAGGCGGCAGTGTCTCTGGACCCCACGTACTCTCTGGCTTACTACAATGCAGGGAATATCTACCTTCACCACAGGCAGTTTTCCCAGGTAATGTGCATCTTCTTGAATATTTCCTCTTTGCCCTTAAATGCTCCATACATATACTTTTTGGTATGCGTCGTATTGAAACACAATCCATTCTATCTCTAGGGTAGTAAATCATTAGCTCCCCTTAAAAAAAGTAATGTTCCTAGTTGCTCAGGAGGCTGAGTTTGAGGATTGCTGTTTGAAGCTAGTCAATCCAGGAAAGTTCTTAGCTCCAATAAATTACAAAACAACAACAACACCCCCCAATAAAATAAAAACAACAACAACCCCGAAGTGGAGCATGGCTCAGGTAGTAGAATGCTAGCCTTGAGCAAAAGGAGCTCAAGAACAGTGCTCAGGCCGTTAAATTCAAACCCCAGGACTGGCACACATACATGCACGAATAATGTTCTCTTTCATAGCACGTTCATCCATTAGATGCTAATACTGGTCTAGATTTGTTGTTGTTCTTTGATCAACTTTTCAACATTTGCCATAAACATTAATTGGATTTCCTGAGAGGAAATGTGGCCATTTTCCTTGCCATATCCATTGTCAACTATTTCTGCCTGGAATCCTTTGCTCTGCATGACAGGAGGATCTAACTCTTAATTAATACCTTTTCTAAATGTCAGAGACATGAGTGGAATCAGTGAAGAGACTGGAATTTCTGATCTGGTTTTGTGTAATCCTTAATTCCTTTCCATTTCAATTTATAGTATCTGAAATAAAAGTATTTGGGTCTTAGGTAATGTAAATGTACAAATACGTTTTATTTAAATTGTATTACAATTAAACTTTTAATTTTAATTAAAATTTTATTTTAATTAGCATGATCAAACTTACAACGTATTTTGAAATGGATTTTATTTATCTTTAAGTAGTTGTATGAAGAAATTGCAATTCAACAAAGCAGTTTATGAATATGATGCATCTTGATCAATGTCACCTCTTTCAGAAAACGTTTTAATATTTTTAATATTATATCTATAATCATTCTTTTATTCTGTTGTCCCTTATCTTTTTGAATTGATAGTTTATTTATTGATACTCTTTCATTTATATTGTGGTATTTAATTTCTTTTTTCCTTTTTTAATTTTAATTTTATTGTCAAGGTGATGTACAGAGGTATTAGTTACTTAAGTAAGGTAGTGATTACCCTGTCTTGTCTAACTTGTTACCCCCCTCTCTCATTTTTCTCCCTCTTTCCCTACCCCTTCCCAATACCACCCCTCAGGTTGTATAGATAATTTCCAACATATCGTCTTGTGAGTATCACTGTTACGTAGGTTCCCCCCTGTCCTTTGTCTTACCATTTTGTTGTTCCCCTTCCCTTCCTTAGTTCAGATAAATGTATATTCAATACCCAGGGTACCAAAATTTATTACAGTGACAACAGGGGATAAACAATAGGGGGAAAAACACAAAAGAAAAAAGAAATTACATAGTACTTTGAGAACAATGAGAAAGAAAAACCTCTTATGTCCATGTCTTGGAGTTCATTTCACTTAGCATCATCTTTTTTTGTTTGGCGGGGGCGGGGAGGTCTGGTCGTGGGGCCTGACCTCTGGGTCTGGGCGCTGTCCCTCAGCTCTTCAGTTCAAGGCTAGTGCTCTACCACTTGAGCCACAGCGCCACTTCTGGCTTTTTTTTCTGCTTATGTGGTGCTGAGAAATCGAACCCAGGGCCTCATGCATGCAAGGCAAGCGCTCTACCACTGAGCCACCTTCCCAGCCCTAGCATCATCTTATATGTCATATGTACATAGCTATTGAGCTATTCTGCTCATCGGCTAAGATTATCCTAGGAATATACTAATTATTGCAAATAAAGGGAACCATGGGACCTATGTTTATTTGGGTCTGGTTTACTTCACTTAATATGATTTTTTCCCAAGTCTTTCCATTTCTTTAAAAATGGGGTGGTGTTTTTCTTTCTGACAGAAGCATAGAATTCCATTATATCTATCTATCTATCTATCTATCTATCTATCTATCTATCTATCTATCTATCTATCTATCTATCTATCTATCTATCTATCTATCTCTATCTGTCTACCAAATTTTCTTGATCCATTCATCTACTGAGGAACATCTGGGTTGGTTCAATACCTTAGCTGTGGTAAATAATGCTACAATAAACATAGTTGTGCTGGTAGCTTTAGTGTGGCCTTGTTTGTGGTCATTGTGTAAACGCTTAGAAATGGAATTGCTGGAAGCTCTGTGTTTAGTCTTTTGAAGAATCTCCATACTGCTTTCCAGAGTGGCTGAATAAGTTTACACTCCCACCAACAGTGTAGTAGCATTTTCTTCCATTAATTTCTTCCAAACACTGTTTTGTCAGTATCCCATTTATTTTGTCCTGTAATTTGTGTCTTTTCTGTTCTTTGTTTTGATTTTTTTGTACTGTGCTCAAGCTCTTTTGATGACTTAGTGCTCTATCACTTGAGTTACACTCCTAGTCCAGCTTTTTGAGAGACTGAGACTCAGAGACTTTCCTGCCCAGTTTGTTTTTGAACCTTGATCCTACAGATTACCCTCTTCAGGAAGCTAGGATTACATGAGCCACTTTTGCCTGGCAGATCCATGTCTTTTTTCTTAAATTTGAGTAAAACCTACATAAAATAAAATTTACCATTGTAACCATTTTAAAATGTATAGCTTGATTTGTATTAAACACATAGTCTGTTGGCTTTGACATTTTTAGAAAGTTTTTTTTCTGAAGCAAAGGGAAGTTTATAATTTTGCTCTAGTGACTATCATTGTATAAAAACACATTTTTCATTCTTCTTTTGTGTACTTTTTCAACCAAAGCAAAAATATACCTTGTATCTCTTCCTTGTCACTTACATGAGGGTGTAAATCCATAACCCTCCTCTTCCTTTGTTCTTCTGTTTTCTACACAATGCCTCTTCTTGTATCCTAGGCTGGCTTTGAGCTGGCTAACCTCTTACCTCAGGCTTCTGAAGGAGATTTCAGCATTTAAAAAATGTAAAGAGAGGGTTGGCTCCCACAGCCTGTTCTTTACTACTGATTGTCACAGCAGACTTTCTAAAACCACTTGTTGCCTCTCTGTTTCTCTCACCTTCCAGGTCTATGCAGACCTTCCAGTTTAAACCTCTACCTCCACTGCTTCTCCAACTACTTCAGTGTGCCTCTGGCCTCCTCTTACTAGACCTCTCAGCATCCATCTTAGTAGATCCTTGAATTGTGCATAAATGTAGCATAGAGTCACTATGATCTGGGATGAAAAGACTTACACAATCTTGATCGAATTGCCTCTTAAAAGTCAAAGGAAGCAAAGTTCATAGAGAATGACCTGGTGGCTGTGTAGAATAAAAGCTTGAACTCAGCACCTTGTGATCTATTGAAATGAGTGCTCTATCATTCGAACCACTCCTCCATCCCTTCCTTTCTTAGTGCTCTTCACTTTCTATTACCATTTTTCTATCTTCCATCTTCCCAGCTGGATGATGCAGCCATGACCCTTAACAGCCTGCTGACCCCTGTGATAAGCTCTGCTGACTTAATAGGGAAGCTGGAGGTTGGGGCAGGGTATCAAAGGCATAATTTTATAAAGCTTGAATAAGGATGTCACTGCCATGTCAGTAGACAGCTAATTTTTTTCCCCAGGCTGACAACCTAAAGTCTAAACTTCATGAATCTTAGATCCTTCCTAGATGCTTCCTAGGAATATTCCTTCCCATTGTAAAGTTGGTTAATAAGATGAAGACAAGTAAAATACCCAAGGGCATTTTTTGTTTCCATCTGGAAGACTCAGGGAACCACATACCTTTAAATTTTATTTAATAACTCTGAGACTATCCTGTGCAAAATTATTTGTTTAGATCTATAGTGCAGCCTGACATCAAAAAAATAAGGTTCAACTCCATAGTTGCTCCATACTTTAGACACAATAATTGGGCCAATATTTCATCTCCAATGTATTCCATTCTCTGTGTGCACACATTGGACACTATGCGGTATCATGCGCACTTCCTCTAGAGATAAGCAGACTTTCATTTATTTATGCCATATTCAACTATGCTACCATGCTTGCCTGCCTCTTCTTTCTGCAGTGACAGCTGATAATACAGAAAGGAATATGTAAGCCCTAGAGGAGTGGTCCCTAAACAAACCAACTCATCTCTGGAGAGTTAAAATGTGTATGAGCCTGGTGCTATGGCTCACAACTGTAATCCTAGCTACACAGGAGGCTGAGATTTGAGGATCGAGGTTCAAAGACAACCCCATGAAGCTCTCATCTCCAATAAACTACTTAGAAAAAGTGCTGTAGCTCAAGTGGTAGAGCGCTAGCCTTGAGCACAAAGAAGCTCAGGAACAGTGCCCAAGCCCTGAGTTCAAGCCCCAGGACCATAAAAAAATGTATATTATCTGACTTTCTTTGTCTTTAGTGACCTAATGAGTTAAAAGCACATTTGGAGTAGTTGTTTGCATAAATCTGGAACTACTGATGACTTAAATAATTGGATATACTTTTAAATCAACTTATTATAGATATGAGGGCATCAGACCAATTGTTAAAAATTTAAGGCCTTTTATTACTAATTGCATTGCCTTGGAATTGCTTCATACTCCTTATTCTTCAAGTAACTTCATTATGTTTATAGATTTTCAATTTTCAAAGTAATATATTCTGGTAGTACAAAGTTACATTATGCAAAGTTAGGTGCATTACAGGTATTTCACTGAATTCTTTTCTCTAACTAAGGTATTCATTTGTTCCTACCTGGCTAAAGTCATGTTTTTGTGATATAGAATTGTCTAGCTGTTATCAATAATTTGTTAGTGATTAAGGTGAAGTCTGCTACTTCATGAAGAATGTAATGCTTGGAGTCATTCTCTTGCTTCATTCCCGATGCCTCAGTGTAGACTTCTTTTTAGGAGTGAATTCTCTTTAAGCTCTTCACAGGTAGATGTCAATACTGCTCCCATTTTAATGGATCTTTGAATTGCACATAAATGTTGCATAGAGTAACTACTACCAGGGATGAGAAGACTTATACAATCTTGATAGAATTGCATCAGAGGAAGCAAAGTTCATAAGTACCTGAAGACTCTATTTATAGGCATTAGAAGAAAAGTAGCAAACCTGTAGTCGTTGATTGAGTCTACTACATTCTGCATGTTGTTCTCAGTACTTTATATACTAGCTGCCTCATTCTTAACATCAGTGCAGGAAGTAGGTTTTTGTTTATTACCTTTGTTTTACAGAATGAGGAAATTGATGTAATTAGAGCTGTAGAAACTTATCCAAGGGAGAGGCAACATTTGAACCTCATGCATGTGCTCTTTGGTCTGAACCACAGCCACCATGACTCTTATCCTTGGTGAAAATGAATTGAGGACAGATGCTTAGGAAATCCAAAAGGAAATAATTGGAGAGAAAACAAACAGAAAGGTTGGGGAAAGACCAGGGAGACAGTATAGAAAATTTTAAGTAAGAAAGAGAGATGAAGAGGTCCATTCCACAGAGGTACATTGGTAGAAATAACTGGAAAATGTTCATCTGTAACCATAGCCAAAGCAGAGCTCATGGAATGGGAGGAGGTAGATATGAGGCCAGTTTGTGATGGGTTGGGAAGAAATCAGCTGGTAAATGACTGGAGAAATCGAGTTGTATTGTAAAAAGGTTTTCCTTTAGTTTAAAGTAGGAACCAAATGTTCATCCATCAGCATTAGAGATGAGAGTCCTAATGAGTAGTAGAATGTCTAATCAACATCTCAGTCACTTTGTGATGAAGGGGTAAGTTAAAAAATTCCCATTTATTACATATCAACATTTAATTAAAAATAGAATAAAACAACTTGCTAGATTTCTGGGTTGCTGTTGGAAGATCATTTCCATTAAGCAATGCCAATTAAAAGTCAAGAAATTAACCAAAGCTTTGGTACATTCTTTCCAGATAGCCTTTTTCAGTTGGAAGTTAAAGATTGAGGAACTTGTGCCTGTAAGGTAAATTACAGCCTGCTAAATGCAATCTCTGAGGTTCTCAGAAAATTCTGATTTCTCTTTTAACCAAACTCCACCCATCTTAATTTTTATGTTGAAACCTGAAGTTGATCACAAAATGTGAATATATAAATATACTGTGGTATATTAATATGTAATATATAATTATCTTTAAGTAGTTGTACAAAGGATTGTCATTCAACAGAGCAATTTATGAATACAGTGTGTCTTAACATTATACCTTATAACACCTCACCCATCCCTCCCAACCTACGCTAGAGTCTTTGATCTCAACAATTTGATTTTTTCCCCTTCTCTTACTTATAAATTTTCATAGTATCACTGAGTTTTCATACTTTTGGACATTGCATACAATTTTCTCTTGACGATTCAGTTATCTGTTCACCTCTTGTTCTGTTTTCATATACAATGTGTTGCCTATCTAATTTTCATTTTATCTTCTGTTTAGTCTTTCCTAATTGACTTTTTACCTTTTACTTGTGGTTCTGTTCAGGGGTATGAAATTTAGCTGGCTGTCTGTGGGAATATTTCACTATACTATGGAGAAATATTTTTTATGATCGACATTGACTAGCATTGCTGGCACATAATGTTCAGGTTTAGATCTTAATGCCTCCAAAGGCATGTATGCTAAAGGCTTTGTCATAAGCCACTGGTACTGTTGGGCCATGGAGGAATTTTTAGGAAGTGGGACCTAGCAGTAGGAAATGAGGTCATGGGGCACATAGGACATTCCCTAAACACTCTCTCTCTCTCTCTCTCTCCTGATTGCCATGAGATGAGCATCCTTCTCTGTCACTTGCTTGCCATGAGGTACTGTGCTCCACAGGCCTACCGCAACAGGGCCAAGTGACCATATCCTGCAATCTTTGAAACAGCCAGGCCAAATAGATCTTTCCCTTCCTTTAAGTCAGTCACTTCAGGCATTTCAGAACAATGACAGAAAGCTGACCAAAACACATGGCAAAAACAAAAACAGAGCCAACTGTTGTCTTTTTTTCTTTTTCTTTTTTTTAATTTTTTCTATAGGACTTCTGTATTGGAGATGAAGGCTTCCATTGATCCATTATTGGTCAATCTTATGAAAGAGTTTCAAATTTCCAATGGCTGTCAGTTACAGTAGATTCAAATTATTTTATTTTATTTTTTTAACATTTTATAGGCCATTGACTACTTCTCGAAGGCTTTAAAGTTTAACCCAGAAAATGAATATGCTCTCATGAATCGAGCTATTGTAAATACAGTATTAGAAAAATATGAAGACGCAAAAGAAGATTTTTCAAGTCTAATTGAACGTTGTCCTTCTTGGGCTGCAGTGTATTTTAACAGAGCACATTTGTACTGCTGTTTAAAGCAATATCAATTAGCTGAAAAAGACCTTTGTCAAGGTATTGTTTAGTAATTATTTTGGTAAGATCATAGTAGTTGATATACTCCTTTCTTATAGATTAAAAAAGAAAAAAATTGTTTGTCTCCATAAATTTGCACAAGAATCAATATAATATACATTCCTTGATATAATTTCTTAACTTGAAAGAAAAGATTGTTGATTGCGAAATGGGGAGATTATGTGAGGAGGAAGCCAATGGAAAGGGGTATGAAAAGGAGAGGCTGAATATGATAGAAACATTTTATCTTTATATATGAAAACAGAATAATGAAGCCCATTAAATTTATTTTTAGAAGGGGAGTGGGGAAGAAGAAGGAATAATGGAAGTACATATAGGCATGTATGGAAGTATCATAATGAAATCTCTTTGTATGATCAATATATCCTAATTAAAAAGCTTTAATAAACTTAGCTATACAGAATTATTAAGAAACCACACAAGCAATGCCAACCTTTCAAAGGATTATACTGTACTGTGGTTCCCTAAATTATATATGTGTGTGTGTATTATTACATTTAAAGAAAAGTACCTTAAAAAAAAGTAATATTGGGCTGGGAAGGTGGCTCAGTGGTAGAGTGCTTGCCTTGCGTGCATGAGGCCCTGGGTTCGATTCCTCAGCACCACATAAGAAAAAAAAAAGCAGGAAGTGGCACTGTGGCTCAAGTGGTAGAGTGCTAGCCTTGAGCTGAAGAGCTGAGGGACAGTGCCCAGGCCCAGAGTTCAGACCCCATGACTGGACCCCAAAAAAGTAATATTAAAATTCTTGCAAAAGTTTTATCTTTAAAAACTGAAATTATTTTTTAGTGTTTACATAAACATATATATCATGAAGTTTGTGTTTGTTTTTCAGCCTTATATTTGAAGCCTGATGATGCTCTAATGTATAATCTCAGAGCAGAAGTTCGTGGTAAAATAGGTCTGATTGAGAAAGCTGTAACTGACTATAACCAAGCACTGGATTTTGAAAAATCAAGCTACATGATTAAATAGACTATTTTAAGTTTCTATGATAATTTACATAGCCTTTCTTCTTGCAACCAAAATGCATTTGTTGTTTAGAAATTTATACCACCTTTGTTATTGTTCCTGGTAGACTTGGTATTTTCTATGACCTTTTAATATATTTAACAACTGTATTTAATATATTTAACAACTGTATTTAAATATTTAATATATTTAATATATTTAACAACTGTAACACTGTTGCACATGTATATAGCATGAACTAAATTTCTTCAGAAGATGCACTGTTTAAATGGGAATGTTTCTTAAGGACTATTAATGTAAAAGAGAATTTCCTTTGGAGTACTACTTGATTGTAGACAAAGTGTCATCCAACTTTTCATATATTTCTATTCATAATATGCATACAACTGCATCTATCTTTAAAAAATAAACATAAATTGATGATTTTAAAAATTGAAGTCAAGTACATTGTCTCTGTCCTCCTTTTAACATTGTGTATTCTGGACTATATCAGATACTCATATGCTTCCAACGAATAGACATGTTTCTCCTTTACATGTTTGCTTACCTTCTAAGATAGCTCCTACAAAGATTTGGGTGACCTATTTTCCTGAGATAACCCTTCTACAGTGCGCGCGCGCACGTGTGTGTGTGCTGATCCTGGGGCTGGAACTCAGTGACTGAACACTGTCCTTGAGCTCTTTTGTTCAAGGTTGACACTCTACCACTTGAGTTACAGCTCTACTTCTGGCTTTTTGGTGATTCATTGCAGATATAAGTCTCATTGACTTTCCTGCCTGGGGTTGGCTGAAATCCTCAGATCTTAGCCTCCTGAGTAGCTAGAATTACAGATGTGAGCCACCAGTGCTCAGTTCCTTCTGCTTTTTTAGTTTAAATTTCATAAATGTTTGAATAATACAATTTCAAAATGTGTGTGTATGTATACATTCTCATATGTATGTGTGTGTTCATTTGTAATGAGGGCTTCACAGCAGTGGATGATGAATAAAACCAAATTACAACAGTGGAAGGTCATTTTTGAACGATTTCTGAGGAATGTTGAGTGAAGCAGAGAGCCCCTCACTGACAATAAGAAGGCTTTCTGATGTTTGGTTCATTCACATTGTTCCCTTCAGTTTGTTTTCCTTTCTGGTGTTTTATTTTTCTTGTACATCTCTAGGTCTTAAGGGGCCTGCTTTCATGATGGTCAGGTATTTGGAAAGATACTTCTGTTCACTTTCCTTTTTCAACACAAAATTGGTTTCAATTTGTAAGCTAATACGAAAATGCCTCACACTTTTCAGGATACTTTTCCTGGCATGATAAGTAGGTCTATGTGAGGACTGGTTTTCTTTTTTTTTTAAACACCTCTGGTGTTACAGTTACACGAGTAAGGTAATGAGTACATTTTTTAGTTGAACATTGTTACGCTCTCCTTTGTTTTTTTCCTACTATCCCTCCCCTCCCAAGTTGTAAAGATCATTTCTAACATAGTGTCTTGTAAGTATCATTGTTGCAGTGGGTTATCTTGTGTTCTTGTTTCAGCATTTTGTTATTCCCCTTTCCCTCCCCAAATTAGATAAATGTATATACAAGATGCAGGGTACCAAAATCAAATACAGTGATAACAGGGAATATACCATAAGGTGAAGAACATACAAAAGAAATAAAAAAAAATCACATGGTACATTAAAAACAACAAAGAAAACCCTTTTGTGTTCCTTTAGTGAAGCTACTTCAGCTGGTGGCCAAACACACTAAGATGTGATTTTAGATTCTCCTGTGCTTTCTGGTCTCCAAATCCTAGCTGTAGGTTAGATTCAGACTGACCTCACAGACAGAAACTCTCCCCTTGAGCAGGGAGTATGTATTTCTCCTCTATTCTCTGGCTATTACTTGCTGAGATGCAGGCGCTGCAGGATTCTTTCTCTCTGTGAACAATCCCTTTGCACTGCAGATGTGCAGGAGACTGGTGTTTCTGTCATATAAAATTTTGATGATGGGACTCCATCTCTTGGTAGAAGATCCCAAGACACTCAGCTTGTGTAGATTCCTAGAGCATATCTTAGGTTTTCTCCCTTCCCTGCTCCATTCGATTTTTTTTTATCCCTACCAATCTTGCTTTCTTGGATTTGAACTTCTTGATTAAGTGGTAGCACAAAAGCACTTATAAGACAGAATATGATCATGGTTGAGGAATGATGCACAGTAAAGATCACAGGACCAAACTGGGCATCAAAGGGCTAGTGATGTCTGACAGGTCACAATGCCTATAACCCCTCATCCCCCACAGTTTCTTCACACACTGAGAGTGTCCTACTGCAAGCATCTATGCTGCCCACTGGAGACATTTCTCAGAGTCAAAGTCCAAGACTAGGGATTTGACTATATTCTTCCCTCCCCTTGACCTCACTTCCCACTTTTCAAGTACTTGTTTGCTGGTGTTCATTTTGTTGGTCTGTGAATTAGCCTTTCTAAGAAATTACACCATTTGAATTCTTGCCTGAAAATTCAGTATCTTAGTCAATACATGATGTATACTTGTATCCAGCCCCGAAGTATTTACTAGTCATTATAAATTAAGTTATAGCTTCCACATAGGAGAGAACACATATGAGGGAAAACATTTCAAATTTGGCTCATTGGTCCCAACTTCACATCATGTGATTTTTTTTGCAAGTCCATCCATTTTTTTGCAATTGATATAACATCACTCTTCCTAATAGATGAGCAAAATTCCATTGAGTATATATGCCACATTTTATCAATCCGTTTGTCTATGGAGGGTCATGGAATGAACCTTTCTTGGAGCTAGTAGTTACTGTGCACATTTCTTGGTTTCCTAGTTTTCTCTTCATGACAGAGCAGCATCTAGGTCACCGACTAACAAAACATTTTTTATGATATCGGGTAAATTCTAAGAGTAAGATTTTATTGTTATAGCATGCTAAGAATGAGACTTGCCTGTCTAAGGCACCAGTCCACCTGATGCTTCTTATTTACTTGCATTTTGGGAAAATTTTACTTCACAGAATAATTGCTTAATGGACATAGCTGGAGAGTAACCAAGTGAAGGACAAGAAAACATCTAATGGCTGTGGAGAGGAGTGAAGGAAGGAAAGTGACAAGAAGCAAAAGGTGACTGGTACCTGGACTTACGGTAGGTCAGATACACAGCACCAATCTGATGCTTGAGCATTCTAGTCCACATCCTTAGCCTGTCAGAACAATAAGATCTCACTACAGAATTTTCCCAGTGTCATAAAAATATGTTGTTAGTGTTAATGGCCATCCACCTTGAGGGTCCAATGTTCAACATGTTCTCCTGTCCTCACTCATCTTTGCCTGGATGGAATTCTTAGGAAGTTCTCTCCCTCTCTGGTAGGGTGCCTTAGATCTATTATCACACACTTTGATGGCAATACAAACCTGTGTATCTTGTTTACAGGCTGGCTTCCACACTAGACTGCAAACTCTATAAGGGTGAACATTCTATCTATTTGTCCAGCACTGAATCACTAATACCACAGTTCCACAAACAAAGAAGATGCTTCATAAGTATATGATATACTTACTTTAATAAATAAGAGACCTGGACACTCACACAGGACATTCTGCCCCATCATATGAGAAAAGTGTGTTTTACTATTTCCATGATAAAAAAGATATACTGAGATGTTCTAGGCAAGTTTAGACTCCTGAAAAATCAAAGCATTGACAACATGTCTCTTAATATTTTATTTGTTCAGCATTCCCCCAAGTAGAGAGATCTTTAGCATCTTCACAGTCCTCACAGTGCATAATGTGTGTGCTCATGTACACACACACACACACACACACACACACACACACACACACACACAGTACACCTTGGAATCAAAAGATTAATCTTACAAAATGAAATTAAAAACTGAAGAAGTCATGGATGATATCAGCCTGATGTAAAAATGACCTATCCCAAATATTAGCTAACAAATAGTAGCTGAAAATAGAACTTCGTCAAGGTGATGAGGCTGTAATGGTTGAAATCAAGATGTACTAATATCTCAAACTAATCACTGTTATTTTTATAATTGGATGATACAATCAATTGTAACCTAATCAAATAGTCTAAAGAGACATAGCAAAATTTCAATTACTGTCATTTCTTAAGAAAAGTTTCACCAATCAAGGAAACATGATGTATACTGAACCTAGAATGAGGGGGAGGAGATTATTAGAGTTCAAACACTCTTATGCATATTTCTGTCTGATACAGATGTTTTAAACAATTGAGGGGAATATTTATATCTTCTGATATATTGTTAGTTGGAAAATTCATATAAAGAACATAACATTGTCCTGGCTTTAATCTACTAATCCATAAGGCAATTCAACAAAATTAAATCAAGTCAAAATCAAATACCTTGATTTTATTCTATATAAGAACCATTTCAGTGATAATTTATTTAATCATGTGGACATGTAAAAAAACTAAGATAATATAGTATGAGAGTCCATTGTGTTGTGAAATAATTGTATTTATGCAGAATACTATTTCAGAGAAAGCCTGAAATTTTGTTATGAGCAGGATTAGCCAGGGAGGGTTTGTCCAGAGAAGCCATGTGGGAGGTTTGAGGGCTACTGTTTGACTTTTTTGTTTTCATTTTTACTCTTAACACTTTTGCATTTGGATGCATTTTGTTCTTAGCCATTGAACACATGCTGGTAAATAAGAGAAACATAACATCTCCTTCCATAAGTTGACTTAAATACTTCATTGGAGACAACGTTTAAGATGATAGAAAATTAACTTACACTGCCCATTTCCTTGGGTGCCTACAGTGGGCTGTGAGCTAGAGCTGGCAGGTCAGAGGCCTTCAGAGGTCCCACAGGCTCAGACCTTTGTAGGCCCCACCTATAAAGCAAGTCAAGATCTGTTTGCACCATTACCATCTCTTAAGAAAAGTGTACTATGGTAGAGTGTACTTACATGGAGTTTTCTAAAATTCATCTCAAATGATCAAAGACACTTAAATTTCTAA